AGAGAAAAACCCACAGACAACAAACCCACAGACAACAAACCCGCAGAGAACAAACCCACAGACAACAAACCCACAGACAACAAACCCACAGACTACAAGCCCACAGACAATAAGCCCGTAGAGAACAAACCCACAGAGACCAAAGAAAAGACGCATAGACAACAAACTCACAGACAATAAATCCTTAGAGAAAAACCCACAGACAACAAACCCACAGACAACAAACCCGCAGACAACAAGCCCACAGAGAACAAACCCACAGACAACAAACCCACAGACAACAAACCCACAGACAACAAACCCACAGACTACAAGCCCACAGACAATAAGCCCGTAGAGAACAAACCCACAGAGAATAAACCCACAGAGAACAATCTCACAGACAATAAGCCCGCAGAGAACAAACCCACAGAGAACAATCTCACAGACTACAAGCCCACAGACTACAAGCCCACAGAGAACAAGCCCACAGAGAACAAACCCACAGACTACAAGCCCACAGACAACAAACCCACAGAGAACAAACCCACAGAGAACAATCTCACAGACAACAAACCCACAGACAACAAACCCACAGAGAACAAACCCACAGAGAACAAACCCACAGAGAACAATCTCACAGACAACAAACCCACAGACAACAAACCCACAGACTACAAGCTCACAGAGAACAAACCCACAGACTACAAGCCCACAGACAACAAACCCATAGACAACAAACCCACAGACAACAAACCCATAGACAACAAACCCACAGACAACAAACCTGCAGACAACAAACCCACAGACTACAAGCCCACAGAGAACAAATTTATAGATAACACACCCACAGATAACAAACCCACAGAGAACAAACCTATAGATAACACACCCACAGACAACAAACCTGCAGAGAACACACCCACAGACAACAAACCCGCAGAGAACAAACCTATAGACAACAAACCCACAGACAACAAACCCACAGACAACAAACCCGCAGAGAACAAACCTATAGACAACAAACCCACAGATAACAAACCCTCAGAGAACAAACCCACAGGCAACCAGCCAAATTATGCCTGCTGTGCATCTCAGCGGACGATGCTGCCACCGTCTGTGTATGAGCATGTGTGTGTCAGACTTTCCCATAGTCTCCAAACTTGGTTTCAGAATAATGCTTCCAGTGAAATGAGCCAGCCACATGAGGTCACAAAGCCCCCACTCT